TGCAAGAGCATCGGCGTGAGATGCTCCAGTGAGCAGGAATTGCCCCTCCACGTCCCTTCAGCTCTTTGGGAGACCAGAGGTCTGGCAGCAGGGTGAATATCCTGCTTTGTCAGGACCAGGGATGAAAGTTCCCGATAAACCATATGGTTTCAAACGTCCCCCTTGATCAAAGTGTACATCTTCCTGTGCTTTCTCCCCTCAAAGGCTGGGGCTGATCTTTTTCATTACTTCCTAGCTGCTGCTGCCGCTGCCTTCTCCTCCTCTCTGGCCCTTGAGGACTCTTTCTGCTTTGACTCTCCACTTCCATCTCAGCAGCTACCTGGAGCCCTGATCCTGCTGGGGCAGCAATGCCAAAGCTCCCCATGGATGGAGCAGGGATGGGAGGTGATCCTTGGACCGTCAGGATGGAGGTTTGCTTCTCCACTTGCCTTAGGTTTCATGTACATTCCTATACTTCTTATTTCTTCCTGCTTCTACAAAGAAGCTAAAAAGTCTCCACGTGTGCTCAGAAACCCTTCCCCATCCTTCATCTGCGCTCTGCTCCCATCCACCAGCTTGGAGAGAGGTGCACCACCTCTTTCAGAGACAGCCTTGCCTGGAGGAGCAGCAAAGCAGAGCTTCAGAGCGGTTTTTCTCACTAGGGAGCCTTGCCTCTTTTTTTATGTTGGGTTTTTTTTTTTTTCCTCCAGCAACCAAGGAACTTTTGCCAAAATGTGTTTTCCACATGTTCCCTATTAGTCATGCTCTCTGTCTTACAAATCTGTTACCAGTGCCACTAGCTGATGCTATTAATTTACTCCAACCGACTCAAGAGCTCAGCAGCAAAATTCCAGGCAGCGTTCCTAAAACCAGACCCGGCGGCTTGTTTGGATTTAAAACCAATGCCCCTTTCTCCCCCGGTATATACATACAGCACCTTCCCTCCTTCTCCCAAGGCTTGGTGAAGGCAAGAGGGGCGAGGAGCGGTGGTGGGGCTGGCCGCAGGGGCGCGGGCAGCTGGGGCAGGACCTCCGGGCGGTGGGTGCGCGGCAGAGGCGGGGTTTGACACCGCGTTAAATACTTCCCTCGAGCTCCGGTTTCCAGCTGCCGGGGCATGGCGGGACCCAGGCGGCGGGAGTTTATCTAGGGCAAGGCGGAGGGCTGGCGGCACGGGAATGCCGGCGGAGGAGGGAAAGCCGCTGCGAGAAGCACCATGTCTCTGTAAGTAGATTTTTTTCCCATTGTTTTCCCTGCGGTTAAAGCAACGGTGATGGGATCAGTGCAGAGAGGAAGGACATCCAGCTAGCAGAGCCATTTTTTTCCATTTATTTTTTTCCTTCATCTGCTTATTTTAGACGCGGGTTTTAAAGTTTCCCCAGTTCCAACGGTTGTGCCTGCGATTGCGCAGAGGGGCCAGCGGGTTTCGGGAAGTATCCGTGACGAGAACGTGGAGCCAACAGCCCATTCCTGTACCTGGCTACGCGCAATATTCCCTATTTTAAGGCTGAGCCAAAGGCACTGGAAATGCTGCTGGCAGGTTGAGAGGGCCGGCCGCCCCTTTGTAGCTGTTTCAAAATGAAACTCGTGCCCCGCGTGCGTTTCATGCGCTGCATGTCAGCTAGTCTGGAGAAAACCTGTGAAGATGGATGACTGTGAATGAATGGGTCCTCCCAGGCGATCACTCTGGCTGCGTGAACCACCTAATCTAATCCACCTCCCTGCTGTAGATACACAGAGCGTTCTTTGCCCCGGGGAGCTGGACTGTGTAACTTCTCCATTGCACGGAGGAATTCGTTCTGAAGCACACAGAAGGTGCAAAAATCCTTTTTTTTTTGTGCTTTGATAGTTGGCATTGTGAGGAGGTGAGATAGTCTTTTCCTAGGACCACCAGCAAAAGCAATGAGAACAAATCCTTCCTTGGAAGCTTGTTTGCCTTACAATTGATTCCAAAATACAGTGCTGTACTACCCACCCCCCCCAGCGATTAAAGGCATTGAAATCTCATAGTATAGTCCTTCCAGCCAGTGAGTAGCAAAAAACGCTGGAAGTTTAACTGAGCTGGTTGCAGGAGGGTTTTTTAACTCATCTCCTTCAGCCCCGCTTTCAAGCACGGTGCCAGGAGAGCGGGAGGACCCGCAGGAGCGGCACGTCAAGGTGTGATCGCACACGGAGGCAAGAGCGGGGTCCCCGGGGCCGGGCACAGCTCCAGGCTGTGTCCTGCAGAGGTTCCCGCAGATCCAGATGTGCACGGAGGGCTGGGCTGCAGTGCCAATGGCAGGACCATCAGCATGGTCTCCTCAAAGCCACAACCCGCCACTTCGACTGTCTTGCGATTATTTCTTCCCTTCTCCCTGTCTGAGGAGGTTGGTGAGCGTTTTGAACCAATGCTGTCGGGCGCTCCTTTCCACAGTGTGCTTCCCGGGGGGGACAGTGGGTGCTTTGCTAACAACCCTGACTAGGATCAGATCAAAACCTGAGCATTTACTCCAACAGCCACCACTCCTTCAGCCAGACCCTCCCTGCCCCAGCAAAACTGCTGTCGGGAGGTGACTCCGAGCTTTGGGAACTGTGTCCTTGAGTAACACTTGCAAAAAGGTAAATTATCCCTGGTGTAGACCTTATAAACCCTTTAGGTGAGCACTGAAGTGGTAAGTTACCTGCTCTGCAGGACTTCTGAAGCCCGTGTTTTAGAACAACGTGGGGCCTGCAGCTAACTGGGGATGCAGATGGGAGCTGGCGGGTGGTTGAACACCCACATGGGCCAACCAAGCTAGGGCCGATGTGTGCTCGATTCCAAGCCCCAGCCCTGCCCCAGCCAGACCCAGATGCTCCAAGGATGGATGCACCGTGTCCCGCAGCAGGCCGTCGCTGCACCCAGCGGGGTCCTCCCTTGCCAGTCCCCATCAGCTGGAGCTTGGCCAAGTGCCCAGATTAATCCTGCAAATCATTTAATGTTCCATTTTGCCCATATCTGAATGGGGGGACAAATCAGAGGAAGGGTTAAAGACATTTTAAAGTGTATCCACTTTAAAGAAGCAAAAAAGGCACTCAAAGGCGATGCCTTCCCATCTCACCTCTGAATAAACCCGATATTCTCAATAAAAGAGCTCTGTGGGGATTGCTTTCCACATTTTTCTGCAGTGGCTGAATTGTACCCGCAGCAGCATTTCTGTACTGACCATTGGGTCCAAGGCATGACTTTTGGGGCAGGAGATGGGATTTCTGGACCCAGCAGCTTTGAGGGCTTTTGTGCTTCACCAGGTAAATTGAGGGCAGAGAAGAGACCTTCCACACCTCTTCTTCTGGCCTATTACCCATCCTGGAGTGAGCTGTTTCCCTGCCTCAGTTTCTCCAGCTACAGGACAAGAATAACAGCCCTCCCCACCACCTGCAGAGTGCTCCCGCAGTCTCGGTCTGGCGTGTGAAGACTTGGGGGTTTGGGTTCGCAGAGGATTTGTTTGATCTAGAAATAGCAGGGTTAGAAAATTCCATCTGCCTGCTCTCGAGAGCCCTCAACAGCGGAAGAATTTCGCTGCATCTCAAGCCTCGGACCGCGCCGCTACCTCCCAGGGCAGCGCAAGGGCGAGCGCTGAGCAAACCAGCGCTGTTTGGCTCCCGTCCTAAGAAGCAGCGTGAGCGAAATCACATTCCAGACGGGCTCAACGTGGAGAAGAGAGCAAGGCATGTTTCCCTCCTTGCTTCCACATGGGGCTGTACCCACGGCTGATCCTGGTGGCTGCTCCCACCCTGCGCCTGGCATGGGCGGTGGGCTCAAAGGCCGGCTTGTGCCGTGGAAACCCTAGGGAATAATTTTGTGTCTCCGTGTAAAAGTGGGGCAAAGCCAGGTCAGGACCAGGCTCATGTCTCATGGCATCATTTTCCCTCCTGGATGTTTGCCTCCACCCAGCCATGCTCAGCCAGCATGGAGGGGTAGTTTTGGTGTCCATACTCTTTCAACGTGTGGACAACAGCCCCTTTCTTTTCCTCTGCTTGATTGTGGAGGACCACAAGGGAGTTCACAAGATCACAGAAGGTTGGAAAAGACCTTTAAGATCATCAAGTCCGACTGTTAACCCAACACCACCATGCCCACTAAACCATGTCCCGAAGTGCCACGTCTACACGTTTGCCTGTGGAGGGGCAGCTATTGCTCAGCCATAGCACATCACTGCCATGTGCTACTCGGTACTAACTCACTTGGGGCTGAGGCCCCGTTGCAAGTTAAGCTAAACACAAAACGGTTATTACAAGCTCTTCCTCCACAGCTGTCCAGGTCTTCTAACAAATGCATGGTTTTCTCTGAAAGTTTTTCAAGGTTTATTTTTAAAACAGTCTCCATTTGAGTAAGCATTTGTTTTGTTTTGTTTTGTTTTGTTTCAAAAGGAACTTAAAAGGGCCATCAGCCTGTAAACATAAATATTCCCATTCTTTTGCTGATCCTTTGCATTTTTCTGGGTTTGCTAATGAAAGATATTTCAGCAGTGCAAGTCTCTATGATGTGGGCAGCATCCTCTACCCCTGCTTTCAGCTCAGGAGCATGAGCCCATGGTGTGCAAGCAAGAGACTATCACAAGTTAAGCACCTTTTTGTGCCTGGGTGGCTGCCACGGTGCCTTGCGTTCACTTTTACAGTCACCCAAACCCTTCCTACAGCTGAGCAACGTCTTGAAACAGGCAACAAAGCGGGTAATGGTGAACCTAGTAGGTGCTGTGGCTTGTTGCGTTATTAATCTGTGTTTATCTAGTACCACCAGGTATCCCTGCCTCCGATTACGGTGGTGCAGCATGTCCCCACGCTGGCCATGGCTCACTCCCCGATGCTGAGCTCATCTGGTCAGCCCCATGTCACGGTCCCTCACAGGTCCCGGGGAGATGAGCTGCAGCGGTGAAAGATGCCTCTTTGAGATAAAATGACTTCATCTGTCACAGGTGTGCCAATGTCACAGCCGTATCGCTGACCGTAGCCACAGATGTTAACTTACAGCTATGGTTTTTTTCTTCCTCCTCTTCCTGCAGGTTATAACTGAGCAGCCCTTATGACCAACATGAGCTGGAGCTTTCTAACCCGCCTGCTAGAAGAGATTCACAATCACTCCACCTTCGTGGGGAAGGTCTGGCTCACCGTGCTCATCGTCTTCCGCATTGTCTTGACAGCGGTGGGGGGTGAGTCCATCTACTCCGATGAGCAGAGCAAGTTCACCTGTAACACCAAGCAGCCCGGCTGCGACAATGTCTGTTACGACGCCTTTGCACCGCTGTCACACGTCAGGTTCTGGGTCTTCCAGATCATCATGATATCCACCCCTTCGGTCATGTACCTGGGCTATGCCATCCACAGGATCGCCCGGTCAGCGGAGGAGGAGAAGAAGTTCAAGGGGTTCAAGAAGAAGAAGCAGTTTGCTTTGAACTGGCAGGCAGTGCACAACGTGGAGGACCCGATGGAGGCTGACGAAGAGGAGCCCATGATCTCGGACGACACAGCACAAAACGAGAAAGCCAAAGCCAAGCCCAAAAGCAAAGAGCAACAAAAGCATGACGGGAGGAGGCGCATCCAGCAAGAAGGACTGATGAAAATCTACGTCTTCCAGCTACTTACCAGAGCTTCGTTTGAAGTTTGCTTTTTGATAGGGCAATACTTGCTCTACGGTTTTGAGGTAGAAGCCTATTACGTCTGCAACAGAGTTCCTTGCCCTCACACTGTGGACTGCTTTGTGTCCCGGCCAACTGAGAAGACGATCTTTCTCCTGGTGATGTACGTCGTGAGCTGCCTATGCTTATTGCTGAACATGTGTGAGATGTTTCACCTGGGGTTTGGGACCATCCGAGATGCCATTCGCAGCCGGAAAATCAACAGCTTTAGGCAGCCTCCCTACAACTATGCCTACCCAAAGAACATCTCCTGCCCTCCTGAGTACAACCTGGTAGTGAAATCAGAGAAGTCCACCAAGATCCCCAACAGCCTGATGGCTCATGAGCAGAACTTGGCTAACGTCGCTCAGGAGCAGCAGTGCACCAGCCCAGATGAGAACCTCCCGGCAGACTTGTCCACCCTTCACAAACACTTGCGAGTGGCCCAGGAGCAGTTAGACATAGCATTTCAGAGCTACAGCAGCACCCAGGCCAACACACAACCTTCTCGAACCAGCAGTCCTGCCTCGGGTGGCACAGTGGTAGAGCAGAACAGGGCCAACACTGCCCAGGAGAAACAAGGTGCTAAACCCAAAGCCTCCTTGGAGAAAGGGAGCTCAAGCAGTAAAGATGGAAAGACGTCTGTATGGATATAGCTTCGTCTAAAAGGAGAGAGAGGGCAGCATAAATGGGGTTTTTATTTTGGTTTGTTTTTGTTTTTCGGTGTTGTCTTGCGTTCGTTTCACAGGGCACAGGCGCAATTTTTATACAGAAGTCAAGAGAGAAAAGGAGTTTCAGACCAATTTAGCGCTGTCTTCCAGTGCATTAACAAAAGACATTTCTTCCCTCTTTCCAACACGTTCTCCAGCTGGGAACCTCCAGTGAGCAACAGCAAACTCTCCGCATCACCCACCGCTTCGGTGACCACAAGAGCCCCCAGCAGAGACCAGACAACGCGCTGTGATGGGAAGTGGAGCTGCTGGTGGCTCAGGAGAGAAGTCAGGCCGACGGCGGGCAGCTCCCCTCCTGCATGGCGAGGCTAGAGTGCTGTAGGTCAGGCAGTGTTTAATTACTAAATATCCTTAATCAAAATTAATTTCTGGTCCCTTAATGAGAAAACAACTGACATATTGCATGAACCTTCACGACACGCTTACAGCTGATGTCCTGCCTGAACTGATAGATGCTCTAGCAGGCATCACTGGAAACGAAGGCAGCAGGGATGCCTGCTGCGAGCCATGAGCTTGCACCCACATCAGGTTGCGGGGCAGAAACACGGTAACTGTCTTACACACGGAGACTGGAAAGCATAGCACAGTGCTGAAGGGTTTTTTTGTCTTTTATTCCTCTGCGTCGCAGCAAAAAGGAAATACGATCGAACGCTACGCAGCAGGAGCGAGCAGTGACATCATTGCGTCTTACCGGTGCCTGTGTAGCGCTTGCTACAGACGTGACGGAATCATTGCAGTTACAGCATTTTTAACAAAATTCTGCTTCACATCATCAGAAAGTGCCTTTATGCAACCAGGAAAACAAAATCATAAAGGGTTTAGTCGTTTTTGTTCTGCTGAATTTTAGTAGAGATTGGAAGAGCAGTGTTGGAAAATTTGTTTTTCTGTTTAATCAAACCCTTATAAATAGTGTCAGACAGCAGATCTATGCATAGCGTGTATATGATGTGTGTGTGTGTGTACATATACATATATACAGACACATATGAACGTGTGTGTGTGACTATAGGCATAGACAGACATATATAAATGTAGGTAGTATCAACCCTCTGGTAATTTTACAGCCTTCCACCTCTCCTGGGAAAACCCAGCTGGCCCAGGACTATGGCTGATCTCATCCTGGAGCAGTCTTTGGGCTTCTAGCCTCCAGCCTGCCCTGGGCAACCGGCAGGTTTCACACACTTGCTTGAGGGGCTTAGTGGAAGACCTGGCTTCAGTGAGGACAGGACCAGGACAGTAGCAGGATCTTTTTCACTAGTTTATGGGGAGCTTTTTGAGCTTACTTTGGTTTTAGGGTGGTTTTCATGCAGCTGCAGGAGTGTGGGGGCATGCTAAAACCAAGCTGCTGAGCTCCAAGGCTCCTGCTAGTGCTGAGGACGTGCTTTGTCAGGGTGGTTTCATCCCATGCCTCTTGCACGGCTGATGGGCTGTGTCTTTGTTCCCCTCCAGTAACACAAAATGGAAAGAAAAGCTCATCACTGGGATCACAGGGAACGTCTCCTGCTGAATGGTGGAGGCTGAAACCAGTCACTGCCCCACTCTGCCATGTCTCAGAGCAGGTCTCACCCCTGAGATGTTCCCAAGATGCCTGTGGCTTGGCAGATGCTCTCACAACCTCCCAAGAGTCCGACGGTTGATTCACCACTGTGGGGAACTCAAACAGGCAGAGCCTTCAAGATCAAACCTAACACAAAAGAAGTAAATCCTCACCAAACACAGCACTGACCCTGTGCCAAGCTTCTCCCTCAGGGCCGTGCCAGCCACCCGAAGTCACATGCAGGTCCCCATGCCAGTATTTCTTAGCCATTGGATCTATGTGACTTCTTGCTGGGCATCTTTCTCGCGTCCTTGAGGTTGGTCTCCGAAAGCCTCGAGGATGCCTGTTCCCCAGCCGGTCAGGCCCTTTGGCCTGTATGAAACACCTGGGTATGGCCTTCAGCACCTGGTAACCTCGACTGAGCCGTGCCACGCCATTAGAGAACAGTGCTGGCGGCAAAGAAGGAGGTTTAAAAAGAGAGCAAAGAAACATCCTATGAGGTATCCAGCCACAAGTATTCAGTATGGTTTTGAGTAACAGACTGGGGAGCACTTTCAGGCTTGTTCCTGATCCTGCTGGTTCCTGGTCCATCAGTAAAATGCCTGGAGCTCTGCTCGCTCTCACTGCTAGGGATCTTCCGCTTGAAAATGGACAACTGCATCCAGGAGGAGGATCAGTGCAATGGTCAGGAGTAACGCACATCTGCCGTGCGGAGGGATGGCCTTTCTGCTGTGAATTTTGAATGAAAGGTTCAGAAAGTTCACACCACAGTGGTGGGGAGACAAACATATCCAACGGTGCCATCGGTCCTTGTCCCACGTGCAGGTGCGTGTTCTCCTCCGGGGCTGGGGATGCGCGGGCAATGCCGGAGAGGCTGGTTGCTAACAGTGGTGCTATCACGAAGGCAGATGCATGCAGGTCCACAGCCCAGGGCTGCTGGGGAGGAGAGCAGAGGTGCTGCTGGGTGGAAATTTGCTCCCTAATAATTACAGCTGTCCAGGGCACAAACGTGTGCTCCACATCGATGTGACTGCTCGTTTATTGCCAGCCTTGTGTCCCATGGGAAACAGTGTGTATCTAAATTCATGATCCCAAGGGAAGGATGGAAACTCTGAGGACAGCGATGGTTGGATGCTGACTGGGTTTTTCTGATTTTTTTGAGAAGAGCAGCAACATCACAGCCCAGGATAAACCTGTCCTTCCCATGCAGTGCTGGAAGGCACTGTGCTGTGCGGGAGTCCGGATTTTGGATTTCTCCTGCCTGTACCAGTGACACCTCCCTCAGCCCCAGACATGGCTTGAGCATTTCCCGGTGACTCAGATCAGCCCCTCAGCTCCCGCTGACCTGCAGATTCACCAGTGAGTCACCAAACGCGGGGATGGGCATGTGCCTCCCTTGCTCTTGCTTCAGGAAACCATCCTAGCAAATGCCTCGCCATGGTAAAAGCAGGGGACAGATTTTAAGTGAGAAATCCCAGAAGCTGGTCACAGGCACCTGATCGACTCATTAAATGCATTTTATACCGCAGGGCTATACCCCCTGCCCCAACGATATAGCTGGTCAGTGCCCAATGCGAGGAGATCCTTGGGCTCCATGGCTGCAGGTTCAGAGACACTTAGAGCAACAGGGCTGGAGAGGACCACGGATCTTCTCGCCGACTTGCCACCATCAAACACTTCCTTAACAGCTAACACGACCCCCCACCTCGCTGCAACCCCTGGCATCTCCTCTCTTCAGCAGACACAAAGAACTGCTCATGCCTTTAATGTCTGCAGAAGCTTTTGGGTGTTTGAAGACTGTTTTCATGCTCCTCAAGTCTGCTTTAAGATAAACAACTCCAGTCTCATCAACCTTTCTCTAAGGGCTTCTTTTCCATCACGGTCGTCCTTTGCATCTTTGAGCCACCACCAGCCAGTCCATGTCTTCCCAGCGGTGCAGCAGCACTGGCCCTTGGGCCAGCTTTCCACCCTGCTCCTCTTGATGCACCCATCTGCCACCTTGGCCCTCCCTGAAACCCCATCTTCTGCCCCTCTCTGCAGATGTGTGCTTGCATGGCCAGGATCTTCCTGCCCTCCTTCAAACTGCCTTTTTGTTTTCACACCGCAGACCCAGTGCGCCAAGGGGGTTTTGAATGATCGGTTGGTCCTGCAGCAGATTTGCAGCCTCCTCCCGGCTGGTGTCACCATCACATTTGATACGCACATACTGTTTTCCATAGTGAGAGTCAATAATTGCAATATTGACGAGTACTAAAGCCAGGGCAGACTCTTGGGCGATCAATACAACTGCCTCGCCGGGCAGGGAGACAAGGTAACGGCTCTCTCAGCCGTCCTTCCAGCCAGCCCCGCTCATCTATCAAGCTTGAAAGACTTCCTTGCATAAAATGCTTTGCAAATGGAAGCTGATCTTGCTTTCCCCTGTTTTCCTAGCACTTTGACAGGGACAAAAGCACAAGGGCACATTCCTGGTAGGACCACTCCCAGATCCCATCTGAGCCGCACACAGGAGCCAGCATGAGTCAGACGGCCCTAGAAATATAAAGGATTATTATTATTACTTATATTGAGTTGCTCGCTTCCCCCCTTCCTCCTCCACTCCTTGGCCTCTTAAAGCCTTTAGGATATCGTGTCTTTCCACCAAGTCACCACCACAAAGGCGACCAACATACATTAATATCTCTGCAGGAGTGACTCCTTTTGGGACAGGAGCAAATTTCTTCTCTTTTATCATGGCAGTTTGGGAAGGAAAAGGATAGAGAGGCAAAATAAGCATAACCACAAGCAAAAATCCCCTCACAACCATTATAAACTAAACCGGCATCTCGAGGAATTTCAATTAGGCGACAGGCAACGTCGGTCATGGAAGAGACGCCAGTCATGTAATTAATCCTTTGATTTTTTTTTTTACAGGTTAGTAGTTTTGTTCACACACAAGACGGGTTTAGCTTTGTAGCTGAACTAATTGTAAATGTTGACTCTCTCACTAAACTTGATAGGATAAAGTGCCACACTTATATTTCTATTCTTACCATTCAGGGCCAGGAATGTCCCACGTAAAAGCCAGATTACCTTGTTGCTTGCATTGCATTCCACTGGAAAATACTTGAACTTAACAAAAGGCCATAACCAGTCTGTGCTGTTAAGAAGTTTCTGGGATCATTATTTTTTTGTTGTTCTTTTTTTTTTTTTATGTACTAACTGTATTTGTACTATAAATATTTTGAGTATGAGGTTGAATCTGTAAGTATTTTTCAGTGTAAATGTTACATCTGGACTGTAGTTAGAATATTAAACACTGGTCAAAAGAGAAAGATGTATCAGTCCAACTCTTCAACTGGCTATTCCACATCCATTACTAATAAAATGGAATAAAACTTACATTTTGTTA